ATTTGCAAATGTTAAGTAAATAATACTTTCACTTTTGTAAACAATAAATATGTTTATAGAAAATGTAAATGAAATTTTGAATATGCATATCATATGAAAATTCATAAACTTTAATTACTAAAATAATTATTCATTATTAATATTCTTATTTTTATGAATTTTTTAAATAAAATTAATTTTTTTTAAATGCAAATTAGTGGATTTGATATTCAATTTATATTATATTATCAAATATTTTGTAAACAATATTTTATCTCTGTAATAATAAATACATTGTCATTTAATGCAAATTAAAAATTAATTAATAATTTATAAAATAACTATTATAATTTATCAAGTCTATATAAATAATTCTAAGTATTAAAATAATTATTCTATTAAAATATTTTTATTTGTATAAATTTATTAAAATTAAAAATTATTTATATATATATATATGGATTTGATAAATTATTTATTTTATTGGTTTATAAAATAATAATTTTGAATATTATTCTTGTTAATTTGTACTTGGAGTTATTGAATATGCTATTTGTTTAGATTAAATGTAAGAATTAATTTTAATAAAAGATAATTTATTTCATTTGTTATCATGAAATGGAAGGTGCTTTGATGGTTAAGATCTTTGTGCTCTTTGATGTTACACAACTTGGGTCTCAAGGATCAAATCACATTAAAACCCTTTTTCCAGTGAAGCACTTTTTTGTGTGGCATACGGGTTCGACATGCCTTTAATCTTTGGGCATATGGCGAACCCAATTAATTCTAGCATGGTCTAAGCCATGTTGGACTCTATAATCCACAAAATGCATCAATCTAGATATGAACTAGCTTATTTTTTCAAATTTGTTAATTTATAAAAAGTTAATATTTATTATAATAAAATGAAAAAATTAAAATACCAATAAAACATTTTAGACTTCATATAACTCATGATACATGTAATTAAAACTAATGTGGGCAAATATATAAATATTATAGTTTATAAAGGCACTTATATTTAAATGGATCTCACGCCCAAACACCCATAACTGACCCAAATAAAATATTAAAATCCATGAAAATTTGGTGAGATTTGATATGTCTTTTTAGGAACAACTTCCAAAAGCCCATATTTCAAAAGATGTGTTGAAATTTGGGGTTTTGTCTTCTAAGATCAAGACCGTTTCATGCATGAAAAACTTCCTAATTTTTGGTAATTTTGGACTTTCATGAGTTTTATGGGGAATGAGTTTTTCGTACTTCCCATCTTTCATTGTTAAACATAAAAAGACCAAATTTTGATCTTCCAAACTAACATGCATGCGCATGCATGTGTGTAAGCACCCAACCCCCCCCCCCCTCCCCACACACACAATTATGTGAACAAAATATATAGTATATTCTTCTCCAATAAATTTTATCTTATATACTAAACTCCACCTCTTTTCCCAAGTGGTATGGAACAAGATATTTTCACATGTTTCAAAAATAAAGCAATAAAGACAAATTTTTTCAAAGGAACACAAGGAAAATTTCATGTATTTTGAATTTTTCCTTCAAAATACCTAAAGCCAACAAGTAGAGGATGAACCCATTGGGGTTCAGATTATTAGAAATGTAGCATTTATATGGACCAAGATATTGCTGTTGTTTTTCTTTATACATTTATCTACTATGGGAAAGAATAAGAAAAATATCTTTCTCTTCTTTGTACACATGCATATAAATGAATAAAGAACAGTTGGTCACTCAAACTAGGTAGATATTAATTTATCGATGATGATCCGAATTTTGGGTGGATGTGTTGAACGTGGGGCCTCAAAGAAAAAGGATTCCAAATTCCGTGATTGCGACTCCACACGGATTTTTGCTGAATGAAGTCACATCGATCTAAGTCTTCTTTTCCCTTTTATTGTTCACAAACTTACAAAAGGAGACTGATTTTTGCCGTGTATCAACACCAGCAGGGAGGTAAAACACCGTGGGCTTGCCATTTTTCCAAGAAGAACAAGAGACCCAGCAGAAGTTGATTTGAAAAACTGAGCAAAGTAAAACTTTACGATGGGAAAGCAACATCTGCTTTAATAAGTTCTGATTTACAGCCAGTTTTTTATGAAGTGCTTTCAAGAAAAGCTTAATTTTCTTGCCACATCAAGCCTTCACACCATTCATTTTCTAGACTATCACGTTAATGTTACTACTAAAAGAAGGTACTCTCTAATTCAAGTCTTTTGCAAGGTGGTAAGCAAACTTGGCAGAGAAAGAACCAGATCCTTCATATTTCCACTAGAGCTTATCTTCATAGTGAGATTGAGGAATGTAAACTCTTTGGATGGCTTGCCAATAATCGACTGTTGCTGTGAAACAATTGATTTATGATATGAAGGGTTCAACAATTAGGCTATGTTTGGTTCAAAGGAAATGGTAGGAAAACGATCGAGGAAAATTTTTCCTTCCTTTCCCTTCTTTTTCCTTCAAACCAAGCACAGCCTTAAAGATTTGTAGATTCTATTGGGTCCAATAAGTTAGTTGAAATTCTAGCACATTACTTGGATGACCAAGACTATTTCTTTGCTCTTAGAAAACGTTTTGATTGTCTAGATTTTTGCATTGATTTGGTATACTTTTTGATGGCCTAAATTGGTTGAATCTTAGAATCTGTTCGGTTTGCACTTTGCAATCAGAATCAAAATCAAAATATGTTGTAATCGAAATCGGAATGGTGTATTCACATAGTTTGTTTGGTTTAGACAGGAATCTGAATGGGAATTGAAATAAGATGGAATAGGATTTCATTCCCAAGGGGTGGAGCATGTCATTCCCTCAAAGGGGGGAATAGGGGTGGATTTGAGCCGAACTGAGCCGAATAGCTAGCTATTCGAGCTCGGCTTTCTAAGGTAGTACAAGGCTTGAGCTCGAGCTCAACTTGAGAAAAATGTTTTATAAAAATAACATATATATATAAAATATTTTTTTATTTGATATTTAAAAATTTAATAATTATAATAATTAGTTATTATTATATATAAAAATAAAATGTTATTTATAATATTTTTATTATATAAATTATTTTCTATAATAATAATAATAAGATTCTAATTCTGATTCTACCCCTATGGGAAAATGAGATTCTGATTCTACCCAATCAAACAGTTTGAATCAAAATGGGCCATTCTGATTCCAATTCCAAACCCCTATTCCTATGAACTAAATGGTCTCTACATTTATCATTTGGATGGTTGAGATTAACACACTTATTTTGAGATACTATTTCAACAGTCGAAATCTCTAGGTTAATATGATACACCATTCTCTATACCATTTTCATGGCCTCGATTACTTAAAATCATAAAACATCCCTTGAATTTTTTAGATTATATATAATTTTATTGATCTTGAGTCATGAGCTCAATGGCCTTGATCTTTAGTTAGAAAATCATGATTAGAAATGTCTTTTTCAGCAATGTCAAATGGGTAAGGAGCAAAATTATCTTTAAAAGTAAGACAAGGGCATTTTGAGATTTTAGAAATATTTGGCAATACAAATGGCATGGCTTGGACATGGGTATAAACTACAAGGGGGTTACTATAATTTATCCCATCTAGAACATGTGACATGTGGCAAGTTCTATGGCCCCATGAGCATCTTGGGGTCCTATTTTCCTAAACCCAATGCTAGACTAAAACTATTATGTATC